GTGTTCGATCATTTTCGATGCTCTTTCCAACGATGTACTGTTTGTCTCTCTACGACTTATAGTTTTTGCTGGGTAAGAAACATACCTGTGCCGAGCTACCGGTGCTCTAAGCAAGTAGTCTCTTCGGGAGAATACGTAAGACTAAAAACCATAGTTGAGGTTTAAATTTAAATTTGATAGCTTTTGTAGTTTGGCGACAAACCATAATTTAGTCGTCAAATCTTACTGCCCTAACTTTTTTCCGCATCCGATAAATTCATAATTTTGTTATAAATTAATAAAACATAAATATGTCATTAGATGAAAAGTTAATGAATTAATCATTGAAAATAATAATTGCACCAATGCACTTTAGACTGTTTTCGTACTTCTGTTCATCGAATTCATAGAAATATATGTAAAAAACGTTTACATTACGTGTGTCTGTCTATGGTATATAAACCAACGCCTTAACTATTGCTATAACTTTGTCTCTCTATTGTGTCCATTAATTGTATTGAGTGAGAGTTAACTAATAAAGCATTGTTCAATATTCTTATATTAAATATTAATTTTGATAGTAGGTAACCTAACACCAGTGTATTATGAATTTTAGGTTAAAGGTATATTAATTTTCATAATAATTAAGTATAGGGAAATAACCTCTATTGTCCAGATTAATACTTTAACTTAATTTGACAAGAATTGCTGTTAACCAATTTCTGTAATCATAAATTTTAAATGGCAATTATAGAATATTAATAATAGTTTTCCAATTAGTTATCCTTTTAGGTTTAAATTCATGTTTATTTTCTTAACTTACAACACTTTTACTAACTTAATTGAGCATAATTTTAAGTTATGGTTATATTTATTAGTTTTAAAACCTACGCATACATTGTGATCCGGACCACATTAACAGTGACAAAACAGTGAATATTATAACATTAGTCAGTATTGAGATTAATGTTAAATGTTTAAGGTTTTGTCATTCATAGTGTGGCCCCAATGGCTCCAGTGCTGAGTAGATCAAAACTAGTATAAAATGTCCATGGACACAAAATTCAGTGCCAAGTGCTATGACTTGATAGCCATTGATATGGACCAGAATTTTGTGAAATATAACCTGAAGAATACATTATCGCTCACTCATGGCTTCATTCACAAGGTTTTGGTCCAGAATTATGGCTACAATCCAGAGATAACTCAAGTATTTTGTGCCAAATATTGTCAAAAGGGTTTAGTTGTAGACAAACGACGCGGAAATGTCTTGAAATTGGACTCAGAGTTCGGTGTCGTGTCTGCCAGACATGGCTTCAAACAGCTGTCCATTGAGTCCACTCGTGAGGTCTATGGCGCCGACGATGTGGTCAAAGATCTGCGAAGAATACCCGATGTCTTGAGTTCGGGAACTATTCATATGACTGAAGACTTTGATTACTCTGTTCTCAAAGACTTCTTTACGAGTCCTTCAGCGCAGGTGTACTCGAAATGCGTGGAAGTGTTGGAATCGAAGGCAGATAATAGCCCTTCCGATGACGACTTCCGGAAGCTTTACGCGAAGATATGGCGCGACTTATACTCCGTGTCGTGTCTTATGTACGAAAGACAACAGTTTAAGCCACGACTCGGCGGTTGGTATCCGGAGCTGACGGACAGACCGACAGATATCTCGCGAAGA